GTCGTATATATCGATGGACTCCGAAGGACGTATATATACGCCCGTCGTAGTGAAAGGGTTAAATATAATAATCTGCAACAGGATTTGGATTTTATTCCAAAGATAAATTATTATTATTGCAAATTTTACTTACGGGTTTATTATCAGAACGTTCTATCGAGACGGTGATCGCACCGATGCAGGTGACGAGTCCCATCGCCAGGACACCTGTGATATTTTCATAAAACGAACAATAGTACCATATATGAAATAAAAAGAAAGACAGCGAGAGTATAAAGAATCCGGCGGTACTTACAAATCAGCGTTAGCGTCGACCGCATCGTGACAGACCATGGGATCATTTACACGGGCGTTCTGCAACAGGAAAGAAACGTTGTTCGATCGTTAAGCGAACCCGTGTTCTCGTCACGCGTCGTTGCAAATTGCGCGATTACGAAATCCGCATGTGGTTCGCCGAGGCCCGATTGTCCGGGGAAACACGAGCACGGGAAAAGTGTAACGCGAGGTTCCAGAGAAAGGAAGTAAGTACAGGAACATTTATCGTTTATCAAGAAAATCTGATGGTGCATCGTAGAACGAATCGTGCGGCAGTAACTGGATTGCAGATTTTATGCAATTATAGGCAAATTGAATTGCACGTGCAGAGATGATAAATGCCACGTATAATGTAGACGACAATTCAGAATATCGAAACGTGCTGAATACATGAATCAATGTTTAAATTATCCAAGTTTACATAAAATGCATATTTTCAATTGCTACCATAAATGTTTAATTTGCATAAAAATTCCAAGGCATATTTTTTATTTATTTCCTCGTATTTATTACACATGTTCTACTGTGTGAATAGGCGGGGTGTACAAATAGAAAGCCGCCGCGTCGTTTCCGACGCTATTTCATCATTTCTCTAGGAAATCGCGGTAGCAGTGAAACCTGAGGAAAGGCGGATGGAATTTCTCCCATTTACGATACTCCAGCAATTTTCTGAAATTTCCACTTAATATTATTCCACGATTTTGTTGGTCGGAAACGGATTCGGAACGATCGCACGTCAACGATCCATAACGTTTTCAGTGTCCCCCGAAATGCCCATGAAATAATTCAACCGCGTCGAATTGGTTGAATAATAATGAATACGTGAACACGTAATAAATGACGACGTTATTTTATAAAATACGACGAAACGGAAAATTTAATGAAACCCGAGTACGAAAATCTCTCCGATATTTCAACCACCCACAATAAGCGGTTGTGTGCATTTTACCGAGAAAAATATTAATTTGATTTCGATTCATGTTGGAATAAACAAAATACAAATACTGGCTGGTCATTAAATTTTCTTTCGTGCGTACGAATAAAAAAACGATCACCAGTAAAATATACGTAATTAAAATCTATGATTAACACTAGATTGCCCAAGGAAGTAATTTTGACTGCTTTTGGGCAAATGTACAAATAATAATGCATAAATTATTTTTTCCCAAGTGAAGTAAATTTTTTTTT